TATTAATATTCATCATTTATTACAAATAATTTTTGTTGACGTCATTTTATAATAACTTGTTTAAAGTTGAAAAAAAATATTAAAAATCATAATAAATATATATTAAATTGTATTTATTTATTTTTTTTATTTTCTTTTATTTTATTTTTTTCACTCATTATTTATAGTGAAAATTTAAATTTTTCTTATAACACACTACAGTCATCATCTTTAGACATTAAGGAAAAATTTTGCAAAATAAAATTAAAATTACTATAATGACCTTGATTAGTGTTCATGAGAATATAGGCTAGTTAATACAAGTAATTTGTGGTAAATTTAATCATAAAAAAAAAAACATAATCAATTAAATTAAATAGTTTTTTTTTTTTGGCAAGGTTAAAAAACAACTATATTGAAATTTTCAATTTATTTCGAAATCAATTTAAAAAAGGAACAAAAAAATATTTTTAACGAGTAATTTATAAAATGTTTTTATAAAAAACTGTTATATGTCTAAAGAAAGTTGTTAATCGATTATAAAGTAAATATATTTTTAATAATTTACAGTTTTTAACATAAGCATTTGAAACGCTTAAATTGAAAAGATATTTCTGTGAAACATTCGATATTCGTGTAACAAATAATAAAATACAATTAAAAAACTAAAACATTTGAAATAAAATGATAAGTTTTTTTTTTTTTTGTACAAAAAAAATTTTATTAATTTTATATGTGTAAAAAATATAATTATAAATGTCTTAAATAAATCAAAATTTTCTTATTAAAATAATTATATACAGTAAAAGAGTAAATAATTTTCACATTTTTAAATGCGTTTGGAGTTCCTCCTTTAAAATTCTGTTTCTCGTTTTCCAATCTACGGCAGGAACCTGAGAATTAAGCCTTTTTAAAAAATTGTTGTATGTAATTTCCCGATTCTGATTTGGTGCATTATAGGTTTTGGTCCTATTTATTACACCGGCAATTATTATGAAAAATCCACCGATAATTTTTGCAAAGAAATCTATTAATTGAATAATTACTGGGGAAACAGCATGCATAAATATTGACATTTCCCTAATTAATCTTATAATGAAATCCCCTATCGATCCCACAGATGATAAAGTACCATAAGTAATAGTTATTAATACGGCAAATATAACTTTGATTGTCTTAAATAAATTTTTCCATGTTATGGCAGGTATATCATTTATTAATAAATTTTTAAATATATTTTCAATAGGGTTTATAGTATTCTGAAGATTGTATTCAATACTTGAATTTTTAATACTATCAGAAACTTCCGAAGAGATTTCATTTTTTTTAGAATTATGTGATGCCATTGAGTACAGTGAAGGACATTTTCTAAAAGTATCAATTGAAAATTATTGAAATTCTCATTTTGTAGAAAAAAAAAAGGTATTTTTTAAACAATAATTTTTCTTTTTAAAATAAATACCTAATACATTTCAACTGAAGCAAAACTTCCCCTTCTATTACTTTAACATGTTTGATTTGAAACCAATAAGTATCAAATGGTATATTTGATAATTTAACCCAAAGGCAGTAGCCTTTTAATAAATTTTGTTCTCCTGGACTTGTGATTCCAACCCATTTCACATTACTTATGTTAAACCATTTTTTTTTTAATTTATCTAAATCATTGTGTAATTCTTGTTCTTCTGAACCGATTTCAACAACATCCCTGAATAAAATAAATGATATTGTAATGTATATAATAAATTTAAAAGAAAAATTAATATAAATTTATTCAAAATTAACAAAGAATAAATGACCTAAAATATAAATGAAATTTTATTTAAATAAAGTACTACAGATAAGAGACGACAGTTCACTAAAATTACTCTACTGCATTTAAATTTATTCTATAAAATAATTTAAAAAGAAGGGGCGATTTTTGAGTCTACTTGTAAATGACTCATATAATAGCGACCGAGTTTGAAATCTAAATGACAGACCTTAAGTTAATGACGCTCAAGTTAATTTACCTATATTGGCTTAAAATCGGTACGTATCGCCTGCCTTCATATGTTCCTATAAATAAACGTCCACAAAGAATTTCTTTAGCAAATAGTAATGTTTCATCATTAAATGGTATATTTAAGGGTTTTTTAATAAATGTTATGGAATTCACAGAATCCATAGTTCCTGCGGGTAAAACAACAAAACTGCCAATCGTTACTAATAAAAAACTGAGAAACACTAGTAAATTTTTTTCGTTAGCAAAATTTTTTCTTAGCTTAAATTAAAAAATTTATTAAAAAATTATTTAGAAATGAACCCTTACTTAAAAAAAATACATTTTTAACTGTATAATATAATAAAAAATTTTAATTTTTGTCAATTTAATAAAAGGAGGGTTACTTTTTAAATAAAATTTTATGTTGGTACTCTCTGAGTGTACAGTTTTTTCCTAGCCAAACACCTCTAACTGATATTTAAGTTTATTATTCTTTTTAATTTTTCAATATGACTTCGTTAGTAAATTTTTATATCGTTTGAATTTTTATTTGAGAAATTGTTTATAAAGAACGAAGTAAAAAAATTAATTTTGTTTTTTTTTTTTATAGTTCAACTGTGAAGCCAAAATCAGAAATGACGCCTGACGAATTGTCTAAAAGAGAGGAAGAAGAATTCAGCACCGGGCCACTTTCTGTATTAAGTCAATCAGTTAAAAATAATACTCAAGTTCTAATAAATTGTCGTAATAATAGAAAACTATTAGGACGAGTTAAGGCTTTTGATAGACATTGCAATATGGTTTTAGAAAATGTTAAAGAAATGTGGACTGAACTACCCCGGTCGGGAAAGGGTAAGAAAAAAGCGAAATCAGTCAATAAAGATCGATTTATTTCTAAAATGTTCTTGCGAGGAGATTCAGTTATTTTAGTGCTTCGTAATCCTTTGGCAACTGCATCTGGGAAATAAATAAAGTAAACCTTTTCAAACTTATAAAAAAGAATATTTCCAAAGTACTGTAAAAGATTGTATTTTAGTTTTTAATTAGTATTAAGACTTAATGTAAGGTTTAAATAGAATTTTTTTTTACGAAATAAAACGAAAACCTTTTAAATGATGTTTTAAAATGTATTAAATCCGCCATATTTCAAATTGTTGTTTCCCTGGCAACCAAATTTGTGACCCATTAACTATATATTTTTAATCATTGAATAATAAAAAAATTATTCTAAAATAATGGATGATATGAAAGACAGAAGTATACATTTTACTGCTCAAAAACTCACTGAAGATATACAAAATATGCCCTTGTATCATAACTTTTATACAGATTTACAGGTAAGAATTTTGTTAGTGCTTACACAAATAAGCATATTTACTAATTATTATTTTAGTTTACATGAAAAAAAAAATTGAGTGTATAAATTTTTTTAGAAATTAGTTTCCTCTTCATCAGTTAAGAAAGGTGATTTTCGGAATTCTTTAATGGATGCATTAAGGCATTCAGGAATGGGAACAGAACTTCGAAACTCAATTTTTCATTGGATAAGAGCTCATAGCAATCATTTGCATAATCAGCATGCTAAGGAACCTTTAGCTTATTTAAGAAAAGCTCAAATGCAATGGGAAAAAAGAATACATAAATCATTGAATTCAATGAGTAATGATTTGGGGGTTCCTTTGTCTCGTTTTAGATTAGCATCTGATAGAGATGAAATACAAGAAAAATGGACAGAACTGTCTACTTATGATGTAGATCTTTCTCAATATCGACCTGTATATGCACCAAAAGATTTTTTAGATGTTCTTATGTCTATTCGTAGCCCTAATTACAATTTAATTAGGTGATTAATTTTTTTTGTTTAACTTTTATTATTAGTAGTTATTTTGTTTGCAGTTAAGAATATAAAAAAAAAGACTTTTAAAAAGTTGTAATTGTTTATAAAAATTTTAGAACCGGTGGAAATTGGGATTTTACTCAGATACCTTTAAAAGTGAAAACATTGTCTGATCTGGTACGTGGGCAAAAACTTGGACTATTTTTTTTTTCAATACCAAATTAATTGTTTAAATTTAAAAATATGGTATTAAAATACATGCGGTATATGGATAGATGTTTGACTTTTCAAATTTTTCTTTAATTTTTTTTTTTAACAGCGGGTTTTATATAATGAACTGTCTCGAGGCGAACCATTTTTGGGTCTTGAACCTACCGTTGTAGCCGGAACTACGACTTTAAGCGCTCTAGAAGCTGAAAGAATGGAATTAGGACAAAAAGGTTTTTAAAAATTTTCAGTTATAATTCTTTTTCTAATATGTATCAGTTAATTATGAAAATTATTTTTAAAGTTCTTTCGAGTAAGCATGCTCCAACAGCTCAAGAATTTTTAAAAAAGGGATGTCCTAAAAGTATTAGAGGAAGAATTTGGTCACAGGTTTTGGGTTCAGAACCGAAAGCTCAACACACTGAATATTTTTCAGAATTAAAATCTTTGGTTTTGCAATATGATTTGATGATAGATAAACTTGTTATAAAAGATGTTCAGCTTACTGCGTCTAACGATGATCAGTATTTTGTTTTTGAAGATGTCCTTTATCAGGTAATATTTTATTTTCATTGCATTCAACGAGTTCCCCCTTCCCCTCCCCTTTTTCTTTTTTTAGATTTTAATATATTACTTATTAGTTTAGGTGATGCTTTGTTTTTCAAGGGATGCTGATGTCTTATCAGTAGTGCCTCATAGTTCAAGTAACCCTATTCATGCTGTTATTCGTGGAAAGGCAGTATCTATTGAAAATACTGTTGCTTACCCTCCAAGCGGAGTAATACCTTTTCACGGTTTTACCATGTACGGTACGAACGTAAAATTTATTATTATTATTTTTAAAAAAAATTCAATTTATAAATGAATATTGAAATTTATAATAATTATATTTTTAGCAACTGCATTGTGTTATATTTATGATGACCCAGTGAATTTGTACCACACATTCAGAGCATTTTATTTAAGGTATTGGTTTAGACTTCACGAGGTTTCTTCACACGAACAAAGCATATTACCCCTTTGTTTATTATTTGAAAGATTGCTTCAAAAACAAGAACCTCAACTTTGGCTTCATTTAAAGTTAATTAATGTTCAGCCGTGGGTTTTCAATTTTGAAAATTTATATATATATATTAAATTTTGATGTAAAGTAACGATTAAAATAAAAAAAAACGTTATTACAGAATTCGAATTGTATTTAAATGGATAATGAGAGCTTTTAGTGGACATTTACCTCCAGAACAACTTTTGTATTTATGGGATTTAATTTTGGCATACGATTCATTGGAGGTTTTGCCACTTTTGGCTGTGGCAATAATTTCTTTTCGAAAAAATAATCTATTAAAAGTTGATACTCTTCACAATATAGAGGTAAAAAGAAAATACTTAATTATGATTTGATGACAATACCGGATTAAAAACCGGTTAATTACCGGTACTTTTACCGTTAATTATAATTACATTGTTATGTCATTATTATTATTTCTTTTAAATGACATACATGGCCATGTCAAATGAATAAAAGGAAAATTTTGTAATATTTTTTTAATTAGAAATTTGATATGTTTTTAATTATTTAACTTTTTCAAATTATCCTCCATTGTTAAAGATTTTATTTAATTAATTAATTTATTTATTTATTTCAGGAAGTATTAGCGGATCTCTCTTCTATTAGAGTTATGTCTCTAATTCATTTATGCTTGTTGAAAGAATTATAAGTTCCATTGGTAAAAAATTCAAAATTTTTTTTTTTTTTGAACTTATTATTCGCTCGTATTTTCCATCGAATTTAATTTTCATCATTTTATATATTTTCAACAGAGAGGAAAAAATAAATTAATAAATAAATATCGAGACTATTTCTTTATTATTAAAAAATTTTTTTTTTTTTAAATAAAAGTTAGCGGATTCGGGACGTTTAATTAATGTAATTTTTTAATAAAAATTTTTGGTAAATTAGAAGATAAATAAGGAAAATAACGAATTAACTTATTTATTAAACATAAATATATTTTTTGAATAATATTACACCAAAAATTTTAAATGATTTTTATTATTATTATTATTAATATTGGGGGCTACCCCCCCAAATCATAAAATGTAATTAATTCAGCCTTAAAAATAAAAATTATGTTTTTTTTAATAACATTTATTAAATTCACAATAATTGAACAACCACATATTAAAATAGTAAGCACTCGCCATTTTAAAAATAATTTTAGAATTTTCTGTCGTTATGTAGCTTATTTTGGGGAGTATTTTAAATAAAAAATTTTTTACTTATTAATGCATCTCTAGTTAAAGTATTTTTTAAAATGGACACGCAAATTTTAAGAGAACTAGAGATTGCAGCACAGATAATATTGGTTAGTTTTTTTAATTTTGAGAAAATTTTATTTTGCAGTTGAAAATTTTTTATTGTTTTATTTTAATATTTTATTATTATTATTGTTATTTTTATATATTTAGGCACCTCCTAATATCGTGAACAACGAACAGAGACATGCTGCAGAAGAGATTTTTACTAATTTCAAAAAAACAAAGTCTCCTTATGCTTTGTGTAAATACATATTGGGTAAGTTTTTTTTTTTTTTTTTTTTTTAGTTTTGCCTTGTTCAATTAGTTATTGTTACATGTGTTACGTTTGTGTAATTTGAAACAAATGTGCCTAAACATCCTCCAACATTTTTTCCTAATACTTCTTTCAATTTTGTATTTTCCCAAACTTAAAATTATTTTATTAAGAAACTAAAAATTTTTTATAACATTTATTTAGAAACTTGCACTGTTGATTATGTATTATTTGAAGTGCTACTGTATTAAAAGATGCCATTATTAGAGAGTGACATGGTCAGGAGAATGATATTGCTTCTTTAAGACAATATTGCTACAATATGTCGCAAACAGATCGGCTACTCTGCCAGTTTTGTCAGAGAAAAAATTTTACAAGTTATTGCAATTATGGTAAAGAGAGGTAGTGTTGATGATAATGCTACACACAGAGGTCAATTAATTAATGAAATGAAAATTTAATTTTGAATGCTGATCATTCCAAGGTAATTTGAAATCTTTCCTTTTTTTAATTTATTCTAAATTTTTTTCGTAACTTAAAAAATTATAACTATTTTACAACTGTCGATTCTTTTTTAAGTTATGTTTTGTTTTCTTGTTTAGAAAATTTTAGGCTGCAGTTTATTAGCAGCTATCATTCAAGAATATGGATTTACTGAAAAATCTACAGATATTGGTCTTACGAGAAAAGTAAATTTTTGGGCCAAGGCGGAGTTTGAATCATCTGACCTCAAAAGAATATTCCAGTTTTGTTGTAGAGCCTTAAATAATTTAGTCAATGCTGAGCCTCCTTTTTCACAAGAAACATTATCTCTTGTTAAGCAATTATTAGCAATTTCAGAATCAATTTTATGCTGGAATTTCACTGATCATTTTTTTCCTAAACCTTTTGCTAAATCATTTTATGAAGCTAGTGAAACGCCAATGTTAAAGTTGAATGCAACTTGGAAAGATGCTATTTTAGAAGCTCAAGTTGTTAATTTATTTTTTTTGGTATGCAAACACTTTTTTTTTTAAAAGTAGAAATCAAAAATTGTATAGAAAAAGATTAACTTTTTATGAATCTTTAGGTTTATTGGAAGATTCGTTCTAACCCACAATTATCTCATCATGCCTTAACTTGTTTGGTTCAATTAGCAGCAATAAAAGGAAATATATTCGAATCCAAAGAATCTAATGCACAATATTTAGGATATTACATAGAAGGATTTGTTAATTTTTTAACCAAGTAAGTTGTGAAATTTTATGTTTGTCATCGTTTTAGAGCTTATGAGAAACGAGAAATAAATTTATTACTTATTATTTATTACAGCGTTAAAATTCTCGATAGAGAAGCTTTGGGTTTGTCTAATATAGTCAAAAGATTGTTTTCTATATTTTCTTTAAGATTTGTAGATGTTTTGCCTTCAAATTTACTTAAATCTTTTGTAGAGCAACTAGTTTTGTTGACTTGCAGTTTCGCAGAAGGAGCTGCCTCAGAAGAAACAGTAAGTTTTATACTCGTGTATTAATTTTGTTATTATTGTGCTTATAAAATTTATTTATACATTATTTGAATTTAAACAAATAAAAGATAAAATTTAATGATTTTAGATTTGTACAGATGACAGATTATATATGGAAGCGTTTGATAACGTGATGGTGGCCTGGATGAATACATTAAAAGGCTTTCCTAGTTATTGGAAAGATAATCATTCAGGTGCTTTAATTCAAATTTTTAATATATATTTAAAATGTCATTTAGCACCCCCTTTGGGAACGAGGGGAGAAGGAAAGGATCTTGAACAAGAAGAATTGGACGAATCCGACGAAATGGACAGAGTGAAATTCAAAGAACAATTAATTACCATTGGGGAAATAGCAAGACTTTGCCCTGATCATTGCTTGCCCATATTATCCCGATTAATCGAGGGTAAAACTAAAGAACTTGGTAATAGATTTGAAAGGTTACGAAATCAACAATCGGCAACAATATCGGATTCTAGTTCTTTAGTTTTACTATTTGAAGATTTACACTGGCTACTTTTAATTTCATGTTAGTGAACCTGAAAAATTATCCTCTTTGGCTTTAATTATTTTTCTGTGAAAATTTTCAATGATTATTTTTATACTAGGTAACGTAATATCGGAAGATCCAGTTTGTGATCCGCTGAATTTTCCCTCTTCCTTAAAACAATATTCTGCCAAGTTATCTACAACAGTTAGCAATGAAATCACTTTTCAAGTTTACAGTTCACCTCATAAAAATTTCGAAGAGATTCCAAACGCTGAAGAAAAAACGGATCCCGTTATTCGTCTTGTTTCATCCGTTTTACGGTTGAGTTGTTTATGCCAAAAATTTATCGAAGTCAAAATCGGTAATTTTAAATTATTTATATTTGGCGACCATGTGTGATATGACGTGATTATAACTTTTAAATATTTGTATTTTAGTTCAATTTCTCAGTCCTGAAGTTCTGTCTTCTATGTTGTGGTTTTTGAATCAGTGGGTGGGATTAAGTGTAATTAAAGACAGTTCAGAATGTGAACCTCAAAGTGCTCTCTTATTATGCTCAATCGATACGAATCCTGCAGGAGCGTTTTGGGCTGTCAATTATTTACTTGAACAAGCAATCGGGTACTTGATTCATTTGAATTCTGAACCCGGAGTTACCAGAGATGCTGTTATTTTATTTATTTCCTTAGTCGGAGATAAATCAAAGTAAGTAAAAAAAAAAAAAAGAAAAAATTATTTTCCAGCGTGTAATTTACAGTAAAAAAAATTTTTTTTTTTTATTTTTAGAGTCGAATATGTAATCAATGAAAATTTAGTTAAAATAATTAGTCTTTTAAAAATTCAGTCTTCTTTACCTCAAGGAATAAAAAGGGATGTTATGAAAGGTTTAACTCTGGCTGGTATGGCTTTAAAAGATGAAAATAACAGAAGAAATTATTTTGATCAAATTTTAAAACCTTTACAAACCAGATTATTGTCGTTCACGAGTCAACATAATTTTTCACACGTTTCTCACGATGAAAGTATAAAAATTCAAATTATTGATATTTTAGAATGTATAATCGGTTAGTTAGTTTTATTAAATTACTCATTTAATTTTCATGTTACAATAATAATAATAATGATAATATTATATGTTTGAGTATACGTCCCGGACAGTGTAAACACTTAAATTATCGATTTTCAGGTTCTTCAATGGGATCTTCGGGTCCGGCACGAAATTTAGTTTTTCAGTATTTGAGCCCAATGATCTCGGAAATGCCTGTTCTCATGAGAGTTTATCACAATTATCAACAAATAGTGGAATTAATATTGACGACCATTTGGGAATTCGTTAATCATTTACTTCCGGCTCAAATTCCCGCGGAATCGGGGAAAATCTACGAAATTTGCCTTAGCACAATACAAACTTACGCGTCTTGGAATTCGGGACGATTAACGTTGGAATCCGATTCGCAAGATGATACATTTGCAGACATTTTATTACTAATGGAATTATTGGGAGAATTGTGTTTTAAAGATGGAATGGATTTAGCAGGTATCATGAAAAATATCATTTTTTTTAAAAATTTTTTAAAATATTTATTTATTTACTTAAATTTTTCTTTCCATTGCACATTACAGAAAGAGATAAAGACGATCAGTCCTTAACTGCCATAGATGCTTGTTTGTACGGTCTTAACATAATAATGCCTTTAATGAGTGTCGAACTGTTAAAATATCCAGCTTTGTGTTTTCAATATTTCAATTTAATAAGAATCATAAGTGAATTTCACGCGGATAAATTTTTTGAACTCCCGGAAAATCTTTTAAAAACGGTTTTTCAAACGATAGAATTGGGTTTGAATTCTTTCGGTCAAGAAATCGTACCCCTGTGTTGTTATTTCATACGAGATTTGGCATTTCACATTTACGAACAGACAAAAGCGGGGAAACCAACCCTACAAACTTGTAAACCTTTTTTAAAGGTAAGCGTTTCCACGTCGATGTGTCCAAATGCAAACAGGCGAAAGTTATAGAAAAAAAAAATTTGATTTTTCTTTCAGATATTGATGAACATGGCATTGTCTTATCGGTTAAGCGCAGATTGTTTGCCAGGTACGAGTGGTGCCGTTTACACGCTCATATGTTGCTACCAAGATGAATACAACGCCTTTGTCGAATCCGTCCTTGCCGCACAAACGGATCCTTTTTTACGGGAAAAATTCACAAAAGAATTTTGTAAATTAACGAATAATATTTCACTGAAGTGTGATAAGAGAACGGAATTATTATTTTATCACAATTTCGAAAGTTTTATAGTAAACGTATTCGGTATGTTCACGTGATCATCGTCTACCATCGTCGGATTATTTTTCAATTTTTTCTTAATTGGAAATTAGGTATAAACTTTTATTTTACACTGTGATCGGATATGATAAAAAAAGGGCATTACGAATACAGGTTCAGGGATACACGAGAGCATCCTTGTTTTGTAAAAAAAAAAAAAAAAAAAAAAAAAAGAAAAGTTCAAGTTTAAGGTTTTCAAAAACAAACTCATGTATTTAAACTTGGAAATTAAATTAAAAAAATAAAAAAAAAAAAAAAAAAGTTTATAATAAAATAATGACTGCCAAAGTAGCTTTATGTATTTATAATAAAGTAAAAAAAATAATTAACGTACCTGAAAATATATATATGAAAAGTAAAAAAATCTCATCAGGTAAAATTAACCTGAATTAATTAAAAAAATTGACTTTTTTTTTTTTTTTTGATTGATTAAACAACAAATAAAAAAAAACCAATCAAATTTGGTTGCTTCTACACTTTATTATTATTATTATTATTATTATTATTATTATTATTATTATTATTATTATTATTACTATTATTAATAATAATAATATTATTTTGATTGATTTATTTTATAATTTAATTAATAAAAGTGTTAAAGTATAAAAATTAATTGATTTAATTTTGTAATTCGCGTTTTTATTGTTACGTTGATAATAATAATAGTGAGTTTTCATTTATTTTTAATTTTGTTTTTAATTGATAGAAATTATTAGTTATTATTATTATTATTATTATTATTATTAATAACGATGAAATATTTTAAATATATTTTACATATAAAAATTTTAATTTGGAAAAAAAATAATTAAAAAGCATTTTAAAATGTAAAAAAAAACAAATTTTTTTTTTATTTATTTTACATTTAAATTACTAATAAAAAATTTGTTTTTTTTTTTTTGGGGGGGGGGAGCGGGGGGCGCGGGGATTCTCTCCGCAAGTATTTATTTTGATTTATAAATATTTTTATTTTTTTTTTTTTTTGTGCTAATCAATTCAGACATCAGAATCGTTTTTTTTTTTTTTTTGTTTTTCGACCTTTTATGTCTTCTAAAACGTGTTTTTTTTTTTTTTTTTTAAATTAATTAATTATTATTTTATTTGTTTATATTTATTTGTGCGTGTGCGTGTGCGTGTATGCATTATGTATATGTAAATTCTATTACATAAAAACAAAAAAAAAGTTTTATTGAGCTTTGTTGTTATAAAAAAAAAAAAATTTTATTGTAGTGATTTAACACTAATTAATAATACTTTTATAAATGTACATAAAATATTTTTAAAAAAATAAAAAAATTAAAAAAATTAAAAATTTATTTTAATTATTATTATTATTATTATTATTATTATTATTATTATTTGATATGAAAATATTTTTAAAATGTTTAAATTGAAATAATAAGTTTAATAATAATAAGTTTAAAAATTAATAAGTTAGGTTAATAATAAGTTTAAAAAAAAAAGAGAGAGAATTTTGTTTGTATTTATTAATTATTTGTATATATTTTTTATTTTATTTATAATTAATAGAATTTAGTTTTAATTTTATGTACATAAAAAAGTGCATCACAAAACAAGGATGAAATAAATTAATTAAATAATAATTGGTAACATGAAAAAAAAAAATTATAAAATGGGTATGGGTCGTCGTTTGTTTGTAAAAGAATGAATCCAATATTTTGTGACTTTTAAATAAAAATCCGAACCTTCAGGTTCGTAATCTAAATAAGTATAATTAATTGTATTTTTTCTTATTGCAGGTTCGATTTGAGTACCTTCGTGCCATTCGTTAAATGAAGTTATCGATACGTAATCAACTCCTGCGCTTATGGCCGCTCTCCAACCAACTTCGTAATATTTTCCATGTCTTCTATCTCTCGTGTTCATCGCGTTCCAGGGACGAACTCTCGTATCGACGTAACCAGGTCCAATCGAAGGTACGAAAATTAAATTTTGACTCGATGCTAAATGCGAAAGCGTTTTCCAATTTTTCCAAGTCGAACCATATGAAAAACCATTACTCGCAAAATACGTGTAAAAACCTTTAAAAATAATTTTCCTTTAAATCTCTCCTTGTTATTATCATCAGTCAATCAATCAATCAATCGCGATTTCTCACCGTCGAATTTGGCTTTTTTTATTTCGTATTTATGATTTGAATCGACTAAAAGTCCTAAAAAAATTCCATCGTACGATGTTTCCCTTATGCTTATGTTACCGTTCGGACCTAAAAGTTCTCTCCAGCTAATCGCTGGAATTCTATACGAATCGTATATGTAATAAACTATTAAATTTTTTTCTCCACGTTTTATCTTGTATAAACTAGGATGATTTCCGTATTTATCTAAAAAAAAAAAAATACACGAATGGGAAAAAAAAAATTTAATATCTGAACAAGAGCAACAGCAACAAGGTATAAACAAAAGAGGAAAATTCTTTCTAACTTTTAAAATATTTAATATTTTCCAGTAAATTATACGGATTTCTATTTTCGTAAGGTTCTATATGTGGTGCTAATTTAAGTTTATATTTTTCAGCCGAATCGAGAAGTGATGAAAAAATCTCATCCGGAGATCTATAAGAACCATCGGACATTCCAGGCGGATACCAGGACACTACCAAAACACCTGAAAAAGGATCAACCGGAAAATTTATACCCGCCGACAGGTATTTGTTTCACAATGATATTTTTTTATTTACAAACCTATTCCGGCATTACTTATTTGTTTCATGTGTTCGTTAATAACGTAAACATCTTTCGAACTATAACAACCTAATTTCGGATAATAATTCGAACCTATATCGTCGGGAGGTACGTGACGACCCCTCGGATAAATTCTCTCATCATTTTTCCTCCAATTTTTTATATATTCGTGATTCCAATGTTCCCATTTTCCATCGATCCGTAAATTTTCATACCAAGCATAATAAAATATGTGTACGTTGTAATTAATCGGGAAAATCGTTTGATTCGTTTCAAAATTTTCATAATGGCGATTTTCATTGTATTTCATTCGAATTCTATTCAATTCTTTTATTTTATTTTTTAACATTTTCCATTTCGCATCGTTTTTATTTTCTGTATCCTTTTTTTTATTATTATTATTATTAATGCTTTGTTTGATGGATTCCGATTTTACGTAAATATTTGTTCGTAATGTCGTAGTCGTTGTAGTGGCACTACCACCATATATTAATAACGAATCCAATTGCGTGATTTGTTTTTTTATGTAATTTATTTGAGTTAGTAAAATTATTGTCAGGGTTAATGTTACAAACGTGTAAAATTTGTAACCCGTAAAACTTCTTTTTATAAATAGAAAAAAATATCGAAATGGCAATTTCATTTCGCGTGACGTGGTGTATTAATAAAAAAACTAAAATTTATTTTCTATCTCTCTCTCTCTCTCTCTCTCTCTCTCGCTCTCTGTCTTTCCCCCCTCTCCCCTCTCCCCCTCTTTTATTAATAAATCACACAATTTATAATTTTACGGTTTGGTTTTTTTTCTGTCTATGATTTTCGAACCGTATCCGACATCATCACTACCCATAAACCTGAAAAAAAAAAATGGCGAATTATTATTATTATTTTCAAGCCTGGTAATTATTCGAAAAAAAACTTGAACTTTTAAAGTTCATTCACAAATCACACTTGTACCTACACGTGACCGTTATTAAACCACGTACAGGGTTTTTTTCATCTTCTCGAAATTTCCATTTTTAATAAAAAAAAAATTCGCGTGTGTTTGTTTGTTCGTTTGTTTCGTAATAGATTTTTTTTTTTTTTTTTAATTATCACGACGACAAAAATAATAGTAAACGATCGATCGCCGCGACTCACGAATTAAATTTAAATTTTTTTTTTTTTTTTTTTAATTCTCACTCGTGCAAGAAATTATTATCATTATTATTTATATATATATTTTTTTTTTACAAATAATAATACAAATCGTTTAACTTGGTTGTTGTTGTTGTAGTTGTAGTCCGAAGTTTGTTTTGATAGCGAAGTGAACGAAACGAAATTTTTTTTTGTAAATGAAAAATATTATTTAAACGTTAGTCGAGTTGAAACGTTTGTTGTGCGCGTTTGTTATTAACAAACATAAAGACGTTATTATTATTATTATTATTATTTTAAATCATGAACGCCGATGAAGGTTTAGAAGAATTGATGCAACTATTGGGTACGTCGTCAATAATATTAATAATAATAATAATAATATTTTCTGTAAATTTTTTAATTTTTTAGTTTTTAAACTTATTTTATTATTATTATTATTTTTGCTTTCTTATTCTTTGATAAAAATTTTGTAACGGTCGCCCGTGTGTGTGTGTGTGTATGCGTGTGTGCCTGTCGTCTTCCTTTCATTTTTTTTTTTTTTTACTAAATTTGACCTAAATAATAATAATAATTATTTTTATTTAAAAAAAAAATTAGATTACCGAATTTTTTCTACTGCTCTTGTCGTATTTATCTAATTTCCTTTTAAAACATATTTAAAACAAACTACTATTATTATTATTATTATTATTATTATTATTATTATTATTAATTTTAAACTTTTAAATATTTAATAATTACAAAAAAAAAAAAAAGTGAAAAGTAAAAATAATTATTATTGGGTCACACTTTTTTTTTTTTTTTTATTAATAAATCAAGGCCGTTAATAATAATTATTATTATTATTAATAATAATAATAATAATAATCGGTGGTTTTAATCGTTTAAAAATAATATTAATGGTAATGGTAATGGTAATAAAAAAAAAAAAATTTTTTCCTCGAGGGAATTTAATTCGATGATTAAAACAACCGACATTTATTTTTAAAAAATTTTTTCTTTCTTTTAGGTTTTTTTTTTTTTTTTTTTTTTTTCACATAAGGTGAAACAAACGAACAAACAAACGACAAAATTACAAACGCCCGACATTTAAAAACGAAAAAAAAAAAAAAAAAAAAAAGACTTTAAGGTGCCATTTCCGCTCGATTGACAAATGTCGATGAAACATCCTTCTTTATTTAATAATATTATTATTAATATTTTGTCTCTCTCTCTTTTATTAGCACACGCGATAAAGTCTTGAAAAAAAAGAGAGAGAGAGAGAGAGATAAAATACGACACAGATTATTAGAAATTTGTAAAAATCGATTCTTTTCTTTATCTAACTAACATATACATAATAATAATGATAGGTGATGAGGCGGTTTGGGAAAATATCATCTGACAAAGAAAACACAATAGAAATAATAATAATAATAATAATAATTGCAAAAGTACTCATTTTTTTGTTTTGTTATGTACATTATTAATAATATACGATCGATAAATCTTAATGATAATAATATATAATTATACTAATATATAATAATACTAAACTCACGACGATATAATAATAATAATAAAAAAAATTATTTTTGTGTTGTTATAAGAGTGTAAACAACTCTTGGAATCAAATGGAAATAATAATAATAACAAAAAAAAGAAAAATAATTTAGATTTAAAAATAAATACTCGCACGCACACGCACACACGCACGCATACATAAAACTGATAATAATAATTAATAAATAAATAAATAAATAAATAAGTAAACGAATGTTATCAAATTATATTTGATTTGGGGCAAAAATAATTCATTTCGATAACGTTAAAATTTATTATTATTATTATTATTATTATTATTATTATTATTATTATTATTATTATTATTATTATTATTATTATTATTATTACGATTAATTACAAGACTAATGATTTTTTAAAATTTAAATTTAAATTTTCGATTTTATTATTATTATTATTATTAATTTTATTTATTTGTTTTTGTTGTTGTTGTTGTCGTTGTCTTACATGTTTGATTACATGTATTTTTATATTATTGTATTCTCTCTCTCTCTCTCTCTCTCTCACAATAAAAGAGGACGTGACCCCTCCGTGTTGGTAAAAAAAAATTTTCCTTAGAAAATATTTCTCGTGTTGAGACATAAAAAAAAAAAAAAAAAAAAAAACAAAATTTTATTTATTGATTCGACTTTAATAATCCGTGTTGTAAAAAAAGTTCAATAGTTCAAATCGCCATTTTATTGGCATTAATTAACCGAATCCTAATTTTTTCTCTCTCTTTCTTTCTTTTTTTCCTAATATTGGGGAGGGGGGAGCCCTATATTTCTCTCCGTTCGATTTCGATTCAAAATTGAAATTTTTATTATTAATCATCATGGATGAACGTGAAAAATAATTTTTAAAAAAATTGATTTTAATTACGCGGTAGGTGGGTGGGAGAGTAACAAAGAGAGAGAGAGAGAGACAGAGAGTACAAAAACGGAAGTAAAAAAAAAAAACTTTGGGGGGCACAAAAACAACAAATTCTCTCATAGTTAGATATAGATTACATCATATGTACAAAGACAACAAAAAATCATTTTATCATTAATTGCCACTTTTTTTTTTTTTTTTTTTTTTTTAATTTATCGGTAAATAACTTGAAACAGATAAAAATTTAAAAGCAAATGTTTTAAAACAAATAATAATAATAATAATAATAATAATAATAATAATAATAATAATAATAAACTAAACGATTCCGTTAGTGGTAGCATTGGGAGCCATGCCACATTAAATAAAAGGAAATTTAAAGAATTTTTTTAACACGCGAAAATAAGTAACTCTCTCTCTCTCTCTCTCTCTCTCTCTCTCTCTCTTTCTTCTCTCTCTCTCTCTCTCTCTCCTCTCTTTCTCTCTCTCTCTCTCTCGCTCGGGTTTTGTTGGATTAATTAATTAACGATCCGACAAATAATAATTATAATGATAATAATCATTATAATAATAATAATAATATTACAACTTTTTAAATATACTTTAATTATTATTTCAAAAAAAAAAAAAATTTTTTTCAGATAAGGTACCAACCAATTCATTATTTAAATAAATTTTACGCTTTTGATTTTTATTACTCGGTAGCAAAATTACTAATAATAATAATAATAATAATAATAATAATAAAACGAAGAGTGTAACTGAACTTGAAAAAAAAATTAAATTTTTTCCTTCTATTTTTTTTTTTTAGATGTTTGCTGCCGAATGAAAATCTTAATTTTGGGAGCTGTTACAGCTGGTATACACATGCTTTCACTCGTTACTGTTGCCGCCATACCAGAACATAGGTTTGTAAAAAAAAAAAACATTTTGAGAACATTTAAATTCTGGATTATTCGATGGGTAGCCGGGTATACGAGAAGGACAAATCGTTAGTTAGCATTGAGAAAATTAAATTTTGAAAAGTTTTGTTTAACGCGAAAATAGTATCTCTCTCTCTCTCTCTCTGGCTAAAGAGGTTGTGTTTGGTGTCTTTGATTTGAAATACTATATGAAATGATGATGATGATGATGATGATGAAAAATTTTAATTCGTCTTACAACCAAATCAAATTCGATAAAGAAAATTTATTTATTTTTAGTAAATGTATAAAAATTGTAACGACCACTAAAAACTCGAATGATTTTTTTTTTTTTTAAAATCGAAAATGTCGTTTTCCTTCTTTTTTTATATAAAAATAAATTAATAAATTTTTTTTTTTTTTTTTTTTTTTTAATTCAGTGGAATTTTGTTTGCGATCGAAGATGGATGGGAGCAGTGGCACAATCTGCATATATGTTGGGGGTGTTTACCGGAGCGGCAACTTTAGGTCGTTTAGCGGATAGGTAATGCTAATTAAATTAAATTTATAATTTTACCTTTTTAATATATTTATGTAAAAATCCAGTTTTTTTTTGTTTTACATAAGCGTAGCAGCAAATTTTTAAATCTTAACTCATGCGAAAATTTTGACTTCATGTTCATTTTTTTAATTAATACCTGAAAAATAAAAAAAAATAAAATAAAATAATAATAAAAATTTGTTCGAAACAAATTAACGATTAAAACATAATTAATAAAAATTAATTAATTATTAATTTTTAAATTAATACAATAAATTAAAAATTATTGTTTTTTTTTTTATTATTATTTTAGAGTAGGAAGGAAAAAAGTATTTTATGTTTCGGCAGTTTTACAACTTATTTTAGGAGTTGCCGTAGCTTTTATACCAGAATTTTATACATTTATAGTCGTAAGATATCTTTATGGAATTGTCGGATCAGCAGGTTCATACATTACTGGATTTGTATTAGTGAGTATAATATCGGAAAAGTTTTATTAAGTTAAGAGGTTTAAATTTTTAAAATTCATATTCGTTTCAGCTATGGAACTTGTTGGAGCTTCAAAAAGAACAGTGACTGGACTTTCGTTTCAAGCATCATTTGCTGGAGGTTTATTACTCGTTGCATTTTGGGGGTGGCTTATACCGTACAATGCAACCCTATTGCAAGCTATTTACGGACTTCACAGTTTGCTCCTAATAGGTCATTGGTGGCTCATTGACGAGAGTCCCAGTTGGCTTTGGACGCAAGGCAGAACTCAAGAAGCGATATCGATAATTAAAAAAGCGTTAAAAATAAACGGTAACGAAGGAATGTTAGACGAAGAAAAATTTATCAGTAAAAGACGTCCACAAATTAGAAACGATGATCAAAGTGCGGGAGTTTTGGGACTTTTAAAAACTCCCAACTTGAGAAAGAAAACATTAAATGTTTGCCTTAACTGGTAAATTTTTTTTTATTTTTTTTTTTATACGTTTTACATCGAAATTTTATTTTACGTAATAAATTTTTATTTTTAGGTTCGCTAATAGTTTAGGATATTACGGATTATCTTTAAGTACGGGTGCCCTTCCAGGGAATCCATATTTAATGCTTTTCGTCACGGGTATAGTCGAGTACCCAAGTTACGTACTAACTGCATTTATAATGGATAAAACAGGACGAAGGAGTCTCATAAGTTCTTTGATGATACTCGGAGGTACAGCTTGTTTAATATCGGCTTGCATACCTCAAGGTACTAAACAAAACTTTTAAAAAATAAAATGCTCTTGAAATTTTTTTTTTTTGAACAATTTAAAAATATTTTTTTTTCTAGAAACCGAAACCGAAAAAAATACTGTGATTGCTATAGTCATGATTGGAAAATTTGCCTTAGCTGGATCATTTGCTATAATTTATAATTATACAGCTGAATTATTTCCGACAGTGGTTAGGTCGACAGCCGTAGGTATAGGGGGTATGTGTGCACGTTTAAGCGGAGCCATTACTCCTTTGCTGATTTTATTGGTAATATATAATTTATTTCTTTATTTCATCAATAGCGTTTTAAAAAAAAAATTATTTTAATAAAAAAAAAATGTTTTTATTAGGATTCTTTAGACAAAACTTTGCCGGTGTTGATATTTGCATCGATAGCAATTATTTCCGGAATATTATCTCTTTTATTACCGGAAACAGTTAATCAACCGTTACCTCAAACATTAGAAGATGGAGAAAAATTTGGAGTTGGCGATACAGCATGCAATAGTTGCTTTTCAAAAAGGAAACCCAAATACGATTTGCCCTTATCAACAGTCGAATAATGATAAAATTAGGAAAAAACACAAGAAAATCCATCGGTTTTAGGTATTTAAAAATTAAAATTTTTAATTAACAAGAATTTAAACATAATAACTTTTCAATATATAGGTACACGGAAAATCTACATTTTAAAACATGTAAATTGAGCATAAAAAATTTTTATGGAATTTCCAGAAAAAAATTTCAATTACATTCACCGACATTTTAAAAAAACTTTAAATTTAAATTAGAAAAAAAAAAGAAAAGAGGAATGAAATATCATTTTAAAAAGAGAACCAAAAAAAAAAAAAATTTTTTTTTTTTTTTTTTTTTATATATTTCGTAATTTAAACAAAAAAAATATAAAATATAAAATTTTTAAATATTTAATTATTTAAAAATTACAAATAAATATTTGAATTTTCTCCGATTTTTCCAGGATTTCCAAAAAATGTTTTTTTATTATAATTTGGATTCCTCGTTTGTAACAGAGTGGAATTTAATTTTTTAAATACAGAGAGATACGGTTCTGCCGTTATAGAATCAAGTTTTTGTTGATCCGTGTAGCAAATAAATGCCGTAGCATTCTTCTTAAATATTTCACACCAGCTGAGAACTGTAATTTTGATATAATGTAAAGTTAAATTTTAATAACAAGGTTTTATTATCATTATTAATATTTATCATTAAATATTTTGTCGACAAACTAAAAAAATTTTTTATCACAGAAAAAGTATAATTGAATTTTCTTTTAAAATTCATAATAATAATTTATTTTAAATAAATTGTGTGTGTTTAAATGTGTAAACTTTATCAAATTTTTTTTTTTTTCTTACTTGCACCAGAAACTCCAGTTATAAAATTAGGTGTCTCGAGAAGATCGACAAGATTTTTTTGAGAACTATAACTTGTTTTTAATTCTTTTATAAATCCAAATGGAAGATCATAAAGGCTTTCAGTTTTGTAATTGTATAATGAATCGTTTGTAAAAATGTAAACTTTATTCGAAACTTGCAAAAACTTAAGTATCTAAAAATTATTATTAATTTAAGTAATTAAGTTTATTTTAAAAAAAATTTTTTATTTTCAAAATTGATAAATTTTGCTTACAGCTTGTGTAAAAAAATATCCCGATTCTGATGTGAATGATGAACTTATTAAACAAATTGCATTATTTTTGTTTAAAAAAATTCGACTAGGTAAAATTTTTTTCTTGCTAATTTCTGGATCGTTACTATAATCAGATTCATTACTGTCGATTATAATTTCTGCTGCTGGAGATGTGTTATTGTCGAGAAGAAAGATTTCTGCAAAAGCTGACAAAAAATAAATTTTTTCTGTTATTTTAAAATTTATAAAATTAGGCTGTTTTTTTTTTAAGAAGAGTTTATAATTAAAATTTGAATACTGAAAATTACATAATGTGAATGATAAATATACAATATGAAGGAAGGATGGTAATTTTTGGTTAGTAAATCAGAAAGAGCACAAAAAATTTTATATTTAATTATTATACTTATCTGTCTTAAAAAAAAATTAAATTAAAAATATTCTTACCTAAGGAAAGCTTTCCTTCAAAAATATAAATTGCGTCTAAAGCTGAAGGTATTTTTTCCTCACCTCCAGGCCAAATTAGATTTAATTTTCTGAAAAGTAATAATCACGAACCGGGATTTTGAAGTATCATTTTAAACGAACGATAAATTTAATTGAAACATTACTCGAAATAATTTTTTTCGCGTTTTTAATTTTAAAACATATATTTAAAAAACCAATATAAATAAAATAACTTACAAATTCTGCGAACAATCCTCTTCGTCACTAAAATCATTAAACAAAGCTCTTGTAGTAGGCTCAATAATTTCACCAAAGTACGATGCCATGATGAAATAGCAGAAGTCTTAACGCTCAAATGTAATTACACAATAACAACCAATCACAATAAAGTCCGCTTCCCGGTCTCGCTTCCTATTGGATGTCGTTCGAAACCCGTACATTGGACCAATCAACAGGTTGTTCAAGGTTAGTTTTATTCCAGTGTAGAGGTCATTGCAGTCAATGTAGACGCCATTCCAGCGGAAGAGCTGGCTAGTCTGTCAAATTAATTTTGTTCTTTATCAATGAATTAAAAAAATGTTTATTAAGTGTTGGTGAAGTTATTGTTTAATTTTTGCATTAACAGATTATGCCGTTAGCTGGACTGGCTGATCCTATAGACCCATGGCGGCGTCAATTAGAAGAGCTAGAGGTAAGCAATTATTGTCTGCTATAATTTTACCTTTCCTTCGATCTTCAACTACCTCACTAAAAAATTTATCATGAAACTTTTTTTTAAAAATTTTCGAGTTCACATTTTTTTTGATTATTATCCCTAATGACGAATAAAATAAAAGAAAATTGATTTTATATAAATTTTATATTTAATTTTTTGTCTTATTAAATATTTAAAAAAATTTCATTTTTAGTTTTTAATATTATAACCGTTTCTTCAAATATTTTTACATAATACTTTTAAATGAATATTATTTGATTTTTATTTTACTGTGAAACAATATAAAAAAAAAAATGGCAAGTCAAAATTTTAAAGAAAATGAATTTATTCTTTCGCGTAAAATTTTGTTAGTAAATTAAAATAGCAATTTGTATCACTTTTATTGAAATTATTCTTTGAAAGTTTTTTTTTTTTTTTTTCAAAAATGGTTCAAAAGTTCTTAAAAATTTTTTCACTAATGAAAGTGCATCGAAAGTTAAAGGCAATTCGAAATTATAAGTATACGATTTGAAAAAATTTTTATACTAAATTATTTTTATAAAAAACTTTATTTCATTTCGTTTCAAAAGTTATTCAACATTCATATTTTCAAAATTGGTTGAAATTAAATATTTTATGTTAGTTCAAACATTTTGATTACCCATTACTTTACCTCCATATTACTTTTATTTATTTTTTCTTAAATCTTAGCGATGAAAGTGAGTTTAGAAGAAAATTGACTTTCTCTATTGGGAATAAACTATGATTATTTTTTATTTAGCATATTCTGTGATTGGTTTTACTTATGGGTATAAATTGTTTTGGAAAATATTATTTTTAAAAACAATCGAGTTTCTTCTTAAAAGAGTTTTAATCACATTTTTTTTTTTTCACTCGATTTTAAAAAATTTTTGTCGAATAGTTATAATACATCCATTAGGCATAAAATATTTTAAAACATTTTTTATCTGATTATCTATTGATTATTTAAATGATAAAAATGATATTTTTTTATCATTTGTTTAAACTAACAAATCCTGAAGGTTGTTACATTTTAACACGAGGAAAATAAAATTTACTCATTTGATTATTTCAAAAAGTCAATTTTGTAGCAAACAAGTTTTAATAATAATAATAATAATAATAATAATTGCTCACCTGAGAAAAACTTTTTAATTTGAATTTTATTATTTTTCTCAATTTGTTTACGCCATTTAATTAGTTTTTTTTTTATCATGTTGGAAAAATTTTACTTTTATAAATGTCAAAATGAAAATTTTATGTGTATATGTAGTTGATATGAGATTTTTAAAATTTAAATCGAGACAAGAAAAAAATTTAATTATGAGTTTATTTTTTCAAAGGTTTTTTTTTTTTTTCCCATTGAATCATTATTATTTATTATTTGTTTATTTATTGGAAATTTAGATAAATTTACCCAGTATCACATCATAACCTGACTTTTTTTTTTTTTTTTTTTTTTTTTTTTTTCAAAAAGAAAGTGAATTACATAATAACAAATTTTTAATTGAATTTTTTTTTTTTTTATGGTAAAAGAATTTCAAAATTAAATAATGATTGTGGTTTGTTTCAAAGGATAATCTGCAATGATTACATCCAATTAGAGTAGATCCTTTGCAGGGTTTTTTTCCTTTTTTTTCCTTTTTTCCTTTTTTCCTTTTTTTTTTTATATAAAAATGAAAAATTGTAGCTGCCGTTAAAAAAGTTTTGAGAACACAACAATTATTTTTAATGTAATAACACTAAATTATAAGGTTTATTACATCGTCGTTATTATTATTATTATTATTATCTTTTAAAAGTTATTTAATTTGAATTTATGCTGTTTAGACCTTAAATAATATTTTTTAAACCGTCACCTTTTTTTTTGTTTTTTAATGCCATTATTATTATTTAAAAAAAAAAAAAATAGAATGAGTTAATTTTTTATTTAAAATATTAATAATAATAAATATTGTTTTTTTTTTTTTTTTGGGGGGGGGGTGGTTTAACGGTACATTATGATATAATTTTTTTCCAACTTATTATTTATTAAAATTATTTATAGTAAATAAAATTGAGACATTAGGGAAAAAAAAAAAAAACAACATTTTTAAGTATGTAATAAATTTTTATATGGTTTGACAGTAGAGCCCTTCTTGGTAATAAGTATATACGTAAATGTGTTTTTTTTTTTTCTAGAATTTTCTTTAAAATTCGAACCGCATGCCACAGTACTGTTTCCTATTTTATTATTATTATTATTATTATTATTATTATTATTATTATTACTTTTAATTAAAAAAAAAAGGGAAAAAAATTGTTTGCAGACTGTGGTGGTTAAAATTTAAAAAAAAAAAGGAAAATTTCAATTAATAATGAATTTGAAAATAGGTTTTGGTTTTTGCCTGCTAGGTTTTCTGTCGTCGCAAAAAAAAAAAAAAAAATAAAATATATAAATCTTGATTAATTTCTAATAAATTTTAAACTCGATTAAAAAAAAAAAAAAAAAAAAAAAAAATACAAAAAGAAAAATTTTACTGCTTTAAATTTTTTTTTTTTTTTTTATGATTCGTTTTTATTGCTTTATAAATCACGACGTAATTTTTTTTTTTTTTTTGGTTCCCCCCCCCCGTATTTGTATTTTTTTTTTTTTTCTGTTGGTATTATTAAATGAAAATGAAAGTAATAAATTTTCAAAAAAAACGATTCCAATTTGAAAAAAAAAAAAAAAAAAAATTAAATTTAAATTTGTATTTACGTAATTTGATTATTATTATTTTCAGCAAACGGGGTATCAAAATCCATATCTAAACTAAGGATAACTCCTGTGGGTCCCCCTTTTTTTTTCTTTCATTCAAAAAAAAAAAAAAAAAAATGCCCCCGATTTTTCCCTTTCTCTACTCTTTACTCGTTTAAAAGGTTAAAGGTCATAAAAAAAAGGAAAAAAAAAGGAAAAACATTATTTCGTAATAAAATGCCTTATTTTACGTTCGTAGTTTTTTTGTAAAAAAAAAAAAAAAAAAAAAAAAAAAAAAAGGAGGAAAATTGAAAATTCTAATGATGATAAATAGGAAAATAATGAATTGAAATAAATAAGTAAATAAATAAAAATTTTTTTTTTTTTTTTTTTTTTTTCGTTTTTATGTGGAAATAATAATAATAATAATAATGTAACTTTGGTAGTAAAATACTTCTTGCGTTAAAAAAAAATAAACTTTTTTTTCGTTTGCCATAAATAATCCATAAAACTTTTTGTAGTTTGCAAAAAAAAAAAAAAAAAAAAAAAAAAAAAGCACTCGCGTGAAAATTTTTTTTTTAGGCTCAGGTACGATATCCAAAGATTGAAAAAGGGGAAAAAAAAATTTTAAAAGTTGTGTGCATTCAATATTATTTTATAAAAATTTTCTAAATAAATTTTGTTTAGTTTCTCTCTCTCTCTCTCTATCTTAAATAAAAATGCAAGTTTTAGTTTTTCGTTAAATTTAATTAAAAAAAAAAAAAAATAGTTATTACTCTCTTATTACTCAACTCTCTCTCTCTCACTCTCTCTTTGTTTTCCCTGCTTTTCTTATACGTAAGTTT